AGGTGTTGGCGAAACGTTAGGAAACAAGACTTCAAGACCACGGCCACACAGCCCGGAAGACCCACACCAGCCAATCTTTGTTTTTATTTATGTGCAGTTGTATGTAATTAAATGAAATACTTATGTATAAACAACTAATATTTCTGGTATAAAAATAAATAAGACTAAACTATTTCTGTGGTGGATAGCTGGCCAGGCCAGTAATCAAAATTTGATTGTAGTGTTAATGTACATTAAGTTTTACAAAAGTGTCTTCTGATATTACAACTTGCATTAAAAAAAACAAGTACATACATACATTTTTAGTGATGGAGGGAAAGCACAGAGCTCCTAGCATATAATATTGTTCCATTGACATGGAACACTTTGCTTTATAAATACACACTCCTAGAATAGCATCGAGAAAATTATCATCTTGCCTTTGTGAATGTTTCTGTGTGAACCTTGGATCTTGTACTAGATTATCTGAGGAGGTTTAGGTACGAAACTGGTTAAAATAGGAGTTCTCAAACCTGTGGGTTGGGATTCCCCTCTCCCCTCAGGAAGTCACAAGCAATTTGAGGAGTGTCAACACACACAAACAACTGGTCAAGGTGTGCAGGCAAAGTGTGAGCATTGTCAAAACTCACTCAATGCTTTGTTCCTTATTTTACCCACACATACCCAAAGGAGGCAATTGAGGACTCCTATGTGATATACAGATTAAATTTAATTGTTAATAGTAAGAGGTGTATTGTCCAACTCTAGTATCAGTGAGATCATTAGTTTGTTTGGGGTGGGTCACACAAATTCATTTATCCTTTTAAGGGGTCACTGCATTGCAAAGTTTGAGAATTATTGGGTTAGGATAAGGAAGTGAACTACTGCAGTGCTGGGCCTCTTTTTGAAATCTAAGAGACAAATTGCTTTGGAATCAACATTTGGAGAAAGGACTGTACCTTTGAGTTTTTAACGACCTAAATCCTTTTTGTCAATGGATTTGAATTGTAAGGCAGCCGCCAACATAATGAATCAAAAAGTGGAAATACAGGTAGTCCTCACTTAACGACCATAATTGCAATCAGAAATTCCATTACTAAATGACACTCTCATAAAGTGCGATGTCATGTGACTGTGCCACTTGGTGACGAAAATTCTGGCACTTCCGGTTGCTGCTGTTAAGCAAATCCTGTGATGTCATTGTGACATCACATGGTCACTATTTGTGACCTCCTGCTGGCTTCCCCATTGACTTCGCTTGTAGGAAGAAGGTCACAAATGGCAATCATGTGACCTCATGACACTGTGATGTCATCATTGTTAGCTGGTTGCTGAGCGCCCAGATTGTGATCATGTGACCATGGGGACGCTGTGACCATTGTATGTACAAGGGCCAGCTATTAGTACCACTTGTTCAGGGCCATTGTAAATTTGAATGGTCGCTGAATGAGTGGTCATTAAGTGAGGCCCACCTCTATATGTGGACTGACAGTGCACAATATCGCTTCTGAAATATATGTTAAAAGATTGTAGCATTTACGAAAGCCTTTCTAAAATGTTATGTTTCTAGAGAAACAAGGCTGTTCCCCAGCCAGTGTTAAATAGTGTGGTATAAAGCTTCTCAGTGTGCTTTTCCCCCATATATGATGGTCTACTATGCTCAAAAAATAGGAGAATGCATCTCTTTCACATGCTGTCTCTCCCTGACTAGTTTCCTACCTCATGCCAAACATTCAGCTACAAAACTCTTGCTAGTGTTGCAGTTCATCATTTTGCTGTTACTTAGACTTGGAGATTGTTTCATTTACTTCTCATCTCCCCTTACACCGAGTCTGTGGGCAAGATTAGTCTTTCATATTAAACTAGTTCTATTTTTCTCATTGTTCTATAAGCTATGTGAAGTGTTAACTTAAAAAAAAAAACTTTTTTTCTGGTAGCCTTTCATATATCTTACTTATTTAAACTCACTTTGATGGTATTGGAAACACATTTGCAGGTAAATTACATACATAGTCCTTTTATTGGGTATTGATTGTACTGCCTTGCATTCCAAGGCAGACTTAATTCAACAATTCCCTAATTAGTTAAAGTCATAACCTGTGTCTTGTATTCATTTACCATTAATTAAACCTCAGCTGTTTATTACACTGCAGTCCAAATTCAATAGCCAGCCCAAAGAGCCATACAAAAGGAGTGGAAGGTCAATATTGAAAATATATGGCATGCCATAGGTGTCCCTCCCCCCCTCCCGGGCTTGCATTGCTTGCAGTCAATAATGGTCAATGCAACACGACTTTCTTAGTTGCTATGTCAGCAAGACACAAAGTCAATTCTCATGTTATGCTAGTATGAAAAAATAAAAGTGATTATTGGCAAAGTTTGACTTTTGTTTGAGAATCTTGGTATCTTTGAGTTCTACCTAGAAATCCTTTCTGGTGTGCCTATATGACACTGTTTCTTCCTTCAATGCCCACCTCATCTCTAATTTCTTTTAACTTCATCTCATAGTCCACATTCCAGCTTAAGTCAGTGTAACTCAGCCTTCTCCAAATTTGTTGAACTTCAACGACAAAATTCCAGCCAGCCACTTATGGTACAAAATACAGTCTTTCTTTCTTTCTTTCTTTCTTTCTTTCTTTCTTTCTTTCTTTCTTTCTTTCT